GGACGCGAGGCCCCGATGGAACCCTTGCGGCGCATGCGCCGAAGTGGCTCCATCAGGCTCGCATGCGAGGTCACCGCGGGCGAGTCGGTGAGGGTGAGCTTTAAAGGGCTGATAACCTGTGTATGGGGTTGAAGTACAAGGGCACAGAACCCCTGATCCGTTGGTAGAGAGAAGGAGGGATAGATGGATATCTTTCCCTCCCGCACGATCAAGGTCTGATCGATCTATCTCAGTACCTGGGCCCAAACGGCCAGGCGCAGGAGAGGTAAGGATAAGGAGTATATATGAGGGTATTATGCGGGTTCCATTCACAGGTTTTGTCGGGACGGGGCCTGCCGGCGGCGAGGAACAGCACCGCCCCATGAAAAATGAAAGGAAGTCTCGAGCGGGAGCGTTGTTCTTGCTGGGAGCGGCGCCAATTCTAAAGAGAGTTGGGCGCCAGTCCAGCGTAATTAAACCTGAGGGAAGTCTCGGGCGGGAGCGCTGGTTTTGTCGGGGCGGCGGTTTTCGGCGGCGAGGAGGAGCACCGCCTTGAGTATAAAAAAGGGAGGAAACCTCGAGCGGGGGCGTTGTTTTTGCTGGGGGCGGCGCCGAGAGAGAAAGACTAGCGCGCCAGTCCAAGGTAAAACGGGAGGAAGTCTCGAGCGGGAGCGCTGATTTTGTTAGGACGGCGGCTTCCGGCGGCGAGCAAGAGCACCAGACCTGAGTAAAAAAGGCGGAAGTCACGAGCGGGAGCGTAGTTGTTGTTGGGGGGGCGGTTTTGGCGGTCTCCCAAACCGCTTGAGCGCGAGCCTCATTTTAATGAAAATGGACCGGCGCCTCGGCGAGAGCGCCAATGCGCCTTTAAGGTGTCCGACGATAACAACAGTTTCGTAACATGTTTCGTAATTAATATACAACAACAACAACAACAACAACAACAATCATTATAAGACTGCTCGTTCCTATCTGCCCGCGTGTCATTCACTACGCATATCCCAAACCCTGGACACACGCCCTCTTCGTCTTCGATCGCACCCCTCTAAGGGGTTATATTTCTTCCCGGTCACGTGCAATTGGAGAAGCGCGGGAGGCGAACCCGCAATCAGAGGCAGCGAGCTCTGGAACTTGTCGGCGAGACCTTACTTCACTTGTCGCAAGCAGATACCAGCGGCAATCCACACTGAGACCCCATTTCATTAGCCATAAAGCTGGGGTCACTGCGTGCAGGAAAGCGAAATACGGCTGTGGACAGTGTTGTTGCCCAGCGGCCCCGCGGGAGGGGAAGTCGGAGCCCGATGTCATCAATCACATTGCTGGGATTCGCGCGTGCGGGAATGTGATCAGCTATATACAATAACGAAGCGCCATTTCTACAGCGCCAGGATCTGCTTGTGCGAAAGGGGTAAGCCTCAGCAGCAGGCACTGGCGATGCTGCTCAGCGTGATGTGGAAAGCAACGCTCAAGGAGACGTGGGAGGTGAACTGGGGCCCGCCGTCGCCGGCCACGTTGGGGTGAGAGCTCTGGCAATGTTCGGGGGCACATGCGAGACGACGACGACGACGACGACGACGATGACGACAGTGACGGTAGGGAGGGAGGGGGGGAGGAAGGAAGCAGGGAGGCGCGGGAGAAGGGAGGGAAGGAGGCGAAAGGAAAGAGATAGAGAGAGAGAGAGAGCGAGAGAAAAAGAGAGAGAGAGAGAGCGATAGAGAGAGTGATGGAAAGAGAAAAAAAGAGAGAGAGAGAGAGAGAGAGGACGAGGAGGCCGCAGACCCGACGCCCCGCCGATACAGGCTTTTTGACACGCTGGCCCCCGACGCCCGCGGAGTGCACCGGGCCCCAACGCCGATGTGGACTATCGTAGTAGGAACTCGCGCAGAAGTCTCCAGCGGGACCTGAATAAATTGTGAGGGCGTCTCAAGCGGGAGGGGGGGGTCCTGAATGGATTGGGAGCGGGGATCCTAACTAAATCTCGATAGGCGGGAGAGGGGGTCCTGACTAAATTGCGAGGAAGTCTCAAGCGGGAGCCGTTGTTGTTGTAATCCGGGGGGCAACAACACAGTCTGAGGATGACGACTTCCCCTGACAAAAAAACAGGGTACGAGCGTCGAGGGGCACACTTTGATTGAGAAAAACAGTATGCACCGGGGGGGATTAACAAGCGGCACGTGCGTGCCCAGGCTCATACAAAGAGGAGGAGGAGGAGGAGGAGGAGGAGGAGGAGGAGGAAGGGAGCAGGAGCAGGAGCAGGAGCAGAGCAGGAGCAGGAGGAGCAGGAGCAGGAGCAGGAGGAAGGAGGAGGAGGGAGGGGGGGGGAGGGGGACGGGGAGGGAGTGGTGAGGGTGAGGGTGAGGGGGAGGGGGAAGGGAGGGGGAGGGGAGGCGGAGGGGGAGGAGAGGGAGGAGGAGGAGGAGGAGGAGAGGAGGAGGGACGACGATCAGCGTAGGGGGTGCCTGCGTATGAGAGGGAGGGGAGGCGGAGGGGAGGAGGAGGAGGAGGAGGAGGAGGAGGAGGAGGAGGAGGAGGAGGAGGAGGAGGAGGAGGAGGGAGGAGGACGATCAGCGTAAGGGGCGCCGCCGAGTTTCAAATATGTTGTAAATTCCTTGTGTCTGTTGCACCTGACCCCGCCGATCTGCGTGAGGGGTGCCACCGATGTTCGAAAACGTTGCCAATCCCATGTGTTTTGTTGACTCTGACCCCGCCGATCTGCGTGAGGGGTGCCACCGATGTTCGAAATCGTTGCAAATCCCTTGTGTTTTTGACCATGACGTCGCGATCTGCGTGAGGGGTGCCACCGATTTTCAGAATGCCAAGGATGTCCCAAGCGAAACGGCCGGAAAAATCCCGGACGCGGCCGCGCGGGGCCGCGCGGCCGCGCGTACGCATTAATCGCCTCTGAGCTCTATTCCCTCGGAGAGGTGCGTATGAGAACAATAATTATTCTTCAGGAACGAGAGTTTGAAGGAGGTCCCAGGCGGGAGCGCCGTTATGAGAGTTCAACGTAGCTCAGTTGTGCGGGAGGTCCCAGGCGGGAGCGCCGTTCCTTGAGTAAATTGTGCGGAAGTCTCAGGCGGGAGCGGGGGTCCTGAGTAAATTGCGAGGAAGTCTCAGGCGGGAGCGCCGATCCTGAGTAAATTGTGAGGAAGTCTCAGGCGGGAGCGGGGGTCATGAGTAAATTGTGAGGAAATCTCAAGCGGGAGCCGTTGTTGTTGTAATCTGGGGGGGCATCAACGCAGTTTGAGGATCAAGACTTTCCCTGTCAAAAAACAGGGTGCGAGCGTCGAGGGGCGCACTTTGACTGAGAAAAACAATGTGCACCGGTGGGGGGGATCAACAATAATTATTCTTCAGAAATGAGAGTTCAACAACCACAACCACAACCACAACCACAACAGCAACAACAGCAACAACAGCAACAACAACAACAACAACAACAACAACAACAACAACAATAATCATGTTACGCCTGTCCACTCGTATCTGCTCACGTGCCGATCAATACGTATCTCCCAAGCCCTCGGTACCCGCCCTGGTCGTCTTCGATCGTACCCCCTTGGGGTATATCTTCATTACCTGCCACGTGCATTTAGTGCAGCCCCTAAATGAGGGGAAGAGAGGACAGGTGGAAGGGGGAGGGAGAAGAATGGAGCACGAGAGAAATGAGCAGGAGGTGGCTAGGAGCAAAAAACAACTGGTAGAACCAGACGGGCAGATCGGGTGGGCAGACCCATAGCGGGCAGGTCGGGAAGGCGGGCCCAGGCGACCAGGTCGAGCAGGCGGCGCCCCAGAAGTTTGGGCCAGGAGGCGCCCTAGGCAATGGCCTTGTGGATGCCACGACAGTGGACACCCCAACTGTCCTATCATTGAATTTAGCATGTGTTGAAAATGTCGGAAAATGTTCTAAACACCTGTTAATCATGCCTTAACATGTTTAAAACATGTTTGACACATGTATTATTTTAGACATCTGGAAATTATTCGGCAACATGCTTCCTCTCCATTGATCGTCCTCCACAACTCTAGCCCAGCAGGCATGAGGAAAAATTTTGTAGGGCAGGAGGGGGGCGGCCCAGACGTGGGCCCAGCGGGCGTATGGAGCGTCCAGGGCGGGAGCGGGGCGCCGTAGATTTTTGGCCCAGGCGCCCTAGACTCTGGCCCAGCAGGCGTAAGGAAAGTCCAGGGCGTTGAGGAATTAAAAACGCCCCTACCCTGGGTTACAAGTGCGTGGTCAGTAAACCTCCTGGGAGCTCCCACAGGCCAGAGAGCCGCCAGGACGCCGCGCGGCATGCGCGATACGCAGAGCTTACCCTGTCAGCCCACAGGAGGTTCAGCGCACAGCGCTTCGTAAACCAGGGTAGGGGTGCGTTTTACGCCCTTGAGGCCGGGAGGGGGGCGACCTAGACTTCTGGCCCAGGCGCCCTAAGTCTTTGGCCCAGCACGGCGTGGGGAAAAGTCCAGGGCAGGAGGGGGGCGCCCTAGACTTTGGGCCCAAGCTCTGGCGCCGGAGGCCAGCGCGGTCAGGCGCGGGGCCCCCGCGAAATACGGCAACCTCAGGACTCCCTCCCAAGCCCGCTGAGCTCCCTGGCTCCCCTTCCAGCTGCTCCCTACTCTTAAGTCGGGCCTGTCCCCCTACAGGGGGATCTTGGGCGAAAAACCTGAAATATTCAAAAAATACCCCAAAATGGCAACAACAACAAAAAAAACTCACAAAATAGTCCCCCGACTATTTTTATGTTATTTTTTGATTATTTGGGGGGTATTGTTTATTCTTCGTCAGAAATCCCCCTGTAGGGGGACAGGCCCGACTTATCCCTACTCCCACCCCACACCCCCCCCACCCCAGGTCGCCCTAGACTACATGGAAGCGTCCAGGGCAGGAGCCCTTGCACCTGACGGCGCTCCCCTGGACTGGACTTTTTGGGGGGCTGCCCTGGGCCACCCTGCGCTGCCCAAAACCGCCTTGGTACGATCGACCCTCGAGCTGCCTGGATTGCAGCGGACCCTCGGCGCCCTAGGCTTCACTGGCCCATGGACCGTGCGCCCTGGGGCCGGGCCCTCCACCTGACGGTGCTACCAACAACAAGGAAAACGAAACCGACAACGACGACGACGACGACGACGACGACGACGACGACGACGACGACAACAATAATCAGTTTCAAGACTGCTCGTTTTCCGTTGCTCGCATGTCGCTCAACACGTATGCCCCAACTCCTCGATATCCGCCCATTTCGTCCTCGATCGTACCCACTGTGGGGGGCTATATCTTCCTTGCGCGCCACGTGTAGTTGGCGCGGTCTCTTTGAAAAGCGGGAGGAAGAGGAGGAGGAGGAGGAGGAGGAGGAGGGGGAGGAGGAGGAGGAGGAGGAGGAGGAGGAGGAGGAGGAGGAGGAGGGAAAAGGAAAAGGGAGACAGCGAGGAAAGGATGAGGAAACGAGGAAGGAGGTGGGCAAGAGGAGGGAAGGAGGACCAAGGGCGAGCAAGAATGATCGCGGCCACCTTCTGGACGGCCACGATCTCCTCCGCGCGCAGCTGCTGGCGCGACTCGAAGTCGCGCGCCTTCTGGTCGCAGGTGGCGGTGAGGTCGTCCAGGTACTTCTTGTCCTCGTCCCGCGTGGCGGTGGTGTCGGTGAGCTCGCCCTCCGCCTCCGCCTGTCCAGGCGCCGCACTCATGGAGCGGGCGGCGCGCGGATTGGCGACGGGCCCCGCCTCCTTGCGGAATCGGCGCGATCCGTCGCCGCAACGGGCGGCACCGGCTCCACGCTTCGGGGGGGACCTCCCCCGAGCCGTGGATGTGGCGTGACAGTTTCATTCTGCCGTTGCAGAGTGCTCGCAGCCCAGAAGATCACTGGCTCGAATCGTTGCTTTTGATGGGAAAAACCAGAAGGTCGTGGATCGGGCGCACGCGCGCCAGATCCACGGATCCCTGTTCCACGGCAGTGCGAGCCCGAGCCTTGGCCTGCAGCTTCTTGGCCTTGGACTCCGTCTTCTCCCCCTTGTCCGTCGTCGCCTGCTCGGTCTGCGCCGTGAGGTCCTGCACCAGCATCTCGAACTGGTGGTGAGCGTTCATCTCCTCCTTCTCGATTCCTGTCCTGCATATGGATAGCAGGCGACCACCCACAACCAGATCGAGGACACACCGTGGGGGGTGTCTTGCGCACGCCAACAATTGTCAGAACACAGAAGCCAGCTCACTACTGGTGGTCATCGGTGTGAGCGTCCAAGAACGGCCAAGTCGACCACAACCACAACCAAAGTGCTCATGTCGAGGCTGGTGGGTTCTCCCCTCAGGGGTCCTCCAGATTAATCCCCTTGGTTGTGGTTGCGGTTCTTTGCCATGCACCAGGCATCCTCTCGCCCACGAACTTGTCCAGCAGCTTCTCCAGCATTTCGATGATGCCGTGCGACTGGAACTCGTAGCCGGCAGCCTCTGGGGCGCTGACGGCGAGGCCCTCGTCGGGGTCCTCCTGCAGGAAGGCGTCGAGGGCCCTCTTCGCCTTGGCCGGGATCAGGTTCAGCGTCTTCAGCTTCGCCACCTGCGCGAAGGACGCATGCTTGCGGTCGTAGGCCTGCTTCTTGAGGACCTGGACATCTCTGTTTTGTTGGAGATCGAGGGGGGGGCGAGGGGGGGTGCACCTCTCAGATAAGCAAGAAGCCATGATCATGTCACGTTCCAAGATGTCCCAGATTTCCCGATGAAGAAATCTTGGGGACCTGGATGGCGCGCTCCAGGGCATCCACCGACTCCGAGTAGTCCTTGTGCAGGGCGTCGTAGTCGGCCTTCTCCAGCTCCCGGACCTTCCTCGCGGCCTTCACGCAGGATCCGTCCGCATTGCATCGCGAAATCGGACCGGCCGGGAGCAACGCGCGTCGGATCGGGCCGCATTGGCACAGAGTCGAGGTCGAATCCGGTCGGCCGCGCCAGGATGCACAGCTGCACCCGTACGTGCGCCAGACGTATCGGGTCGTCGGGACATCGGAATCGAGTCAAACCGAGCCAGCCGGGGTCGACACCGAACAAGACCGATCGGTTTGAAAAGCCATCGTTTGAAACCTTTCGCGATAACGCCCGCTACCAACCCCGGCCCGCCCCCAGCCCCCCCGCCCGGTCGTCACGCCCGTGATCGCAAGGGGGGGGTGGGGGGGGAATTGTCTCGAAGTGGAGGCGGTCGAGGTCTCTGACCTGTCTGGATCCCCAGAAGATCGGTCAGGAAGGGGGGATGTTGGGCGAAAAATTAAAAAAATACTCATACAAAAAAAACTCCCAAAATGCTCAAAAATAGTTTTAAAATAGTCCCCAGACTATTTTTGACTATTTTTGAATATCCCTTCTGTAGAGGGACAGGCCCGACTTGAGCCAAATCCGCTCAAAACCTGTCCACGCACCACTACCGGGGTCCATCTGGTGCAATGTGTCGCCCTGGATCCGTTTCTGACGGTCCCGGGGCCTGCACATGGCCCCCGGGTGACCGACAAGGACAGAAACACCTTCTCCAACCCAAAACCTCGAACCTCGCCCCCCCCCTTCCCGCTCGCCAGAGCCAGCGATGGGCCACCTCAGATGCCCGGCCAGCTCCGAGCTTCGCAGCGGAGCCTGCCCTCGCCGCCCCTCCAGTTGCCCGCCTCGCTGATCGACGAGGGCAGGGCTCGGACTTCGCCGCCGATAGAAGCGGACCCCGCCCTCCTGGGTGAGCCGTCATGGGAGCCGGTGGGCCTCAGCGGCCCCATCATGAACGTGATTTCGACGAGGCTTCGTCCAGGTTTCAACCACCCCTCTTCACCCGTTCGTCCAGGCGTCGTCCCGGTGCCGACCAGGCTCCGCCAGATCCGGACGAGATCACCAGGACGGCCAGGACTTCTAAGGTCCTCCGAGGCTCCTCGGACCTTCCTAGGGAGGACCACACGGGCTAACCCACGCTCTGAGGATCATCGGCCTGGGCCCAGACGTCGGCGTCTCCTGCGCCCTCCCAGCTTGGCCGGGGGGGCGCACACGAACGCACCGGCCCCGGGCCTGGGAGAGGCCTGCCCGGGAACGGCCGCAGGAGAATCGCCCCAGGACGACCACACCGATCATCTGCGTTGCTCACATGCTGATGCCGCGCCTCTCCGTCGGCGGTGGACAAACCTCCCTTTAGTAGACCTCCCCTTAGTGAAAACCGCCTGGGACCGAAATCGACGGACCTGGACCCGCAAAAATGACGGCTGCGACGCCCTCTCGCGAACCGAAAACGGCCAATTCCTTAATCGACGTGTCAGGGTAGGAGGTCTGTCCAACCCCGACTCCCGGAGAGCGTGCTGACCAAACTCCGATGCGAAGCCGGCCGTGGCGGAGCGGGCCTGCCAGGAGGCCCAGGAGAGCGAGAGCAGGGGCAGGGGTGGCGCTGGAGGTGCCTCGTCCTCCTCTTGACTTCCAAGGCGACCCTGACCACACAACGGCCCCTGGCCTTCTGTTGCTCCCATCCTACTTAAGGACCACATCCCAGAAAGAATTTCGAGCTCCCGGAAAAGTGTCGAAAGAGTGTCGAAAGAGTGTCGAAACGGTGTCGGGCGAGTGTCCCCCAGGGCCCGACGCGTGAAAACCCTCGAGTTTGGGTGTTTTCCTGGCGCTCGAAATTCTTTCTGGTGATCAAGGCTAAAGTAGGTCAGAGCATCATAACCCTGGCCTTCATGTCCCAAACCAACAGCGGCCGCTGTTGGGCAGGCGGCCTCCTGCCTCGAATGGACACAGGCCGCGGCGGCGTGGACAGCGAGTCCTGTTCAAAATGAACAGGAACCGCTGTTGGCATTGTACCCATTCTTTCCGTGCCCAATTCGTTCGTGCAGAACAACGGCCCCTGGCCTTCATGTCCCCGTCCCAGGCGGCGATGTCTGCCTCGTGCGCGGCAATCTCCTGCGGGGCCCGGGAGCTGCCGTCGCGGCCTCCCTGCCCGGGCTCCGCCGCCCCCTCGTGGCGCTAGCCAGTCCTCAAGCTCCCTCATCCTCGAGTCTCTCTCCTGGATCCTGGCTTCTTCTCCTCCTCCTCCTCCTCCTCCTCCTCCTCCTCCTCCTCCTCCTCCTACTTGATCTTCAATCCTGGATGCTCTTCCTCCTCGATTCTCAATCCTGGATCCTGGATCCTGAATCCTGGATCCTCCTGCTCCTCCTCCACCTGTTTGATCCTCAACCCTGGATCCTCCCCTGGATCCTCCTCCTCCTCCTCCTCCTCCTCCCTCCTCCTCTCCTCCTCCTCCTCCTCCTCCTCCTCCTCCTAGTCCTACTACTACTACTACTACTACTACTACTACTACTACTACTACTACTACTAACACTACTACTACTACTAGACTACTACTACTACTACTACTACTATACTACGACTACTACTAACTACTACTACTACTACTACTATTACCACTACTACTACTACTACTTACTACTACTACTACTAATACTACTACTACTACTACTACTACTACTACTACTACTACTACTACTACTACTACTACTACTACTACTACTACGACTGCTACTAATACTACTACTACTACTACTACTACTACTACTACTACTACTACTACTACTACTACTACTACTACTACTACTACTACTACTACGGCTACTACTACGACTACTACGACGACTACTACGACTACTACGACTACTACGACTACTACGACTACTACTACTACTACGACTACTACTACTACTACTACTACTACTACTACTACTACTACTACTACTACTACTACTACTACGACTACGACTACTACGACTACTACTACTACTACTACTACTACTACTACTACTACTACTACTACTACTACTACGACTACTACTACTACTACTACTACTACTACTACTACTACTACTACTACTACTACTACTACTACTACTACTACTACTACTACTACTACTATACTACTACTACTACTACTACTACTACTACTACTACTACTACTACTACTACTACTACTACTACTACTACTACTACTACTACTACTACTACTACTACTACTACTACTGACTACTACTACTACTACTACTACTACTACTACTACTACTACTACTACTACTACTACTACTACTACTACTACTACTACTACTACTACTACTACTACTACTACTACTACTACTACTACTACTACTACTACTACTACTACTACTACTACTACTACTACTACTACTACTACTACTACTACTACTACTACTACTACTACTACTACTACTACTACTACTACTACTACTACTACTACTACTACTACTACTACTACTACTACTACTACTACTACTACTACTACTACTACTACTACTACTACTACTACTACTACTACTACTACTACTACTACTACTACTACTACTTGATCCTCAATCCTGGATCCTCCTCCTCCTCTTCGATCCTCCTCGGTGTTTCGGCAAAATCTCGAACCTGGTTCGGGAAGTCTTCGTACTGCCACTTGCCATTTTCTGTTGCCGAATGCGCGCGCGCTCGGTGTTCCCGTATTTGCCACTGTTTGTTCCCTCGCGTATTTGCCGCGTTTGTTCCCTCGCGTCGCCAAACCAAGCGCCAAACACGAAGGGTGGCAGCGTTCGACGGCGAACTTCAAACGCTAAGGGGTCTAGCATTCGGCCCCGGGCACGAGTAGCAAAACGCCCTCCGTGCAGAGCCCCGACAATAGCCCACTCCTGGATCGTCCGTTTCGTTCCATAGCGGTTTGGAACGTGCCCGTCCGTGGAGGAAGTCGCGCACAGGAAGAGGGAGAAGATGTGGGACAGTGCACGAAAGCAGGCGTCACTCCTCTGGAGGCGCCTCGATCACATCGTCGCCCGAAAGAGGCAGAGAAGTGGAGGGGGGACTTATGGCTCAGGGGGAGAGCCCCCTGTCTCCCCCCCCCTGATCGCTTCGAGGGGAGCGCCCCCAGCTGGGCGCAGGGCACGAAAGCACGGCGCCGCAGACCTGCGGTCGGCTACACGCGAGAGGGACCCCCGGCAGGAGTGACCCTCGGTGCGCAGCCCCAGGGCGGGCCCCTCGGGGACACCATCAGGCGCGCAGGCCGCTGCCATCGCATCACGTTCCGCGACCGGGGGGGCACATTGGGCCCGCACTCAAGGCTTGGCGGCGCGCACAAGGGGGTAGGGGGAGGGGGGAGGGCTTCTTAGGAGCAGGCTGCTTCTTAGAAGGCGCGGGCCTGACATCTACAAAGAGAAGGCCCGCGCCTTCTAAGAAGAAGGGGTGCTTCTAAGAAGCCCTCCCCCCTCCCCCCACCCCCCTCTGCGCGTGGCTGACGCACTCAGGGTCACTCCGGCAAAAACTCACTCTTTCCTACGTGCAGAAGATGCGGTGGTGGATGAATTGAGCCTCCTCTTCTGGAGAGTTCCAAACGAGGCTGTGGGGGAGGGTTCTGTCTGACGAAGGTTACCATGAGCCTCGTGTGCCCATGACGGCGACTTTGCGGCCGCAAGGAGCACCGTGTAATGACGCTCCAGGACGCCTGCTTGCACCCCTGGGGTGCAAGCAACATCGTGCAACATCATGCATAGAACCAGGCAGTGCAAGCAAGCTTGCACCCCCCAGGTTCTCTTCTGGATCCTCCACGCAGTTCCTGGACCTCCCGCCCCTCCCCTGAGATCCGGGCGTTGCAATCTTCTTTTTCGCCCGGTTTCGGGCCCTTGGAATATTGCAGATGGATCCAGCTCGAGAAATGCCACGGAAAAATAGGGTCTAGGGCTCTGGTCGTGATTTCCCGTGATGCTGGATGTTTTCGCAACGTCGGATCTCAGAATTTCTGCTCGCTTCTCCTCGTGCGGATTCCCAGGGTGACTCCCGAGAGCTCCCGCAGGGGCGGTCCTCCCCCTCTCGGCCTCTTCTATGCAAGGTCAGTCAGCACCGAATCGGGAAATCCGATCGAATCGACATGCACATCGGATCGGGCTGCATGAAAAAGGGATCGAAATCGAGTCGGACTGGCTGCGCCAGGATGCACAACAACGCCATGCGAGCATCAGGCCGCACTGGACCGTTGGAATATCGCAATCGAACCGGATCGGGCCAGTCGAAATCTATATCGAATCGGACTGATCGGATCGAAACGCACCCTGCCAAAACCCCTTTTCTGGTCTCTACTACTCGTGCAGATTCCTGGGACGCCTCCCGGGACTCCCCCACAGACGTCAGCGGCCGGAAACCTCCTTCGGAACCCACGGGCATCAGGAGGCATGGACCTGGAGACGCTCAGTACTGCTTGCAGAAATTGAGCAACTGGAAACGTACATTTCGAGCGCTGGCGCCGATTTGCTACTACAACCGTAGCGCCGCTTGTCCCATCCGTCTCTGAGCATATTTACCAAAATCATGTCTTTCGTACAGAATCGGTGCCAGTACATATTTCCAGCGGCCACGAAATATCAAATAAACAGACGGACAACCTGGAAGCCAACCCTGGGCTATGCTAGTACAGTGCGCCCCCCTCGCACAATTCAATACTGGTTGGCTAAGGGTCCGTGCTGAGCTGCTTCGCGTCAGCGAGGTATTTCTCGATGTCTGCCTTCAACACCTCGATCTTGGCATTCGCCTGGGCAACTCAGGTCCACCCACGTTACCGCCGCCACGACCGACACTCACAATCGACTCCACATATCTGACACGTTACTGGGTGAAAACAAGCGGACAAGACAAGACGAGACGGAAACGACCAGACGGGGTGAGGGTGAAGAGGAACTTCGGGCGAAACACTTACAACCAAGGTACACGGTGCACGTATGATAATGTGGGGGATCCGGTCTTCCAAAACAACTCATCTTCCTCATCACACTTCGGAAATGTTGTCCCATAGCATTACATTGTCTTCTCCAAACGAAACGCAAAATCAGCAAACAACAAGCCATCACAAAACAACAATACGAACGAACCAAGCCCCAAAAAATAGCCTGGCGAAGGACCCAACCATACGCAGTTGAGAATAGCAATCGTGGGCACCATATTCGCCAGCGCTCCCTATGGGGCCACGAACCGCGCGAGGGGCGCGCCAACATCCGCGGCGGGGCGCACAACGCGAACGAAAATGATTGGTCTGCGCGCGAGAGACTGGGAGCGGATGAGTCTGAGCGCGAATGAATCTGATTGTGAACGAGTCTTCGCGCGCGTGGGTCTACGCACAAAAATGTCGACGCCCATGTCGGCGCGCCCCCCACGAGGATCGCGCCCGCTTCCTTCCGTTCCTTCCGCGCGGCGCCGCGCTCGCGCACGCCAATGTCCAAGGCTGCGGGCGCGGCGCCGCACGGAGTCCCCGCGACCCGCGCTGGTCGCCCCGAAGGGGTCCCGGCGACGCGCGCGGGTCGTTCGCTGCGCGGAGCAGAGAGAGCTAGCTGGCTGGCTGATGGCGGGCAAGGCTCTGGCCGCTGGGCAGAACGACGACAGGGGCGAGCGAGGCGTCGGGAAGAGCGCAGCATGGAGTTCCCACGACGCGCGCTGGTCGCCCCGAGAGGGTCTCAGCGACGCGCGCGGGTCGCCCGCGGCGCGAGGCCAAACAGTCAGACCGTCGAGAGACGCGAGTCTCGGGCGGGCCGCTCCTCACGTCAAGCCTCGCGGATAAACTCGGTGAAGCCCAGCTCCATGGCGAGGGCCGTCGCCTCTCGGGTGTGCCAAAATGGTGCATCGCCGCCATACGAGTTCCGCCGCTGAACCTTAGGTGGAGCTCCCCCTGAGGGAGGCGGCGACGCCATGCGAGTTCCGCCACTGGGACCTTAGGTGGAGCTCCCACGAAACGTATGCGCCACAATGGGGCGGGGCCGCCATGCGAACCCTGCCACTGGGGCCTTCGGTGGACCTCCCTATGGGGTTACGAAACGTGTGAGAGGTGTACCAAAATGGGGCGGTGCCGTCCTGCGAGCTCCGCCACTGGGACCTTAGGTGGAACTCCCTATGGGGCCACAAAACGTGTGAAGGGCGTGCCAAAATGGGGCGGCGATGCCATGCGAGTTCTCACTGTGACCTTAGGTGGAGCTCCCTATGGGGCCACGAAACGCGTGAGGGGTGCATGCAATGAGAGTTCCGCCACTGGGACCGTAGGTGGAGCTCCCTATGGGGCCACGAAACGTGTGCGGGGTGTACCAAAATGGGGCGGGGATGCCATGCAAGTTCCGCCACTGGGACCTTAGGTGGAGTTCCCCATGGGGCCACGAAACGTGTGAGAGGCGTGCCACAATGGGGCGGGGATGCCATGCGAGTTCCGCCATTGGGACCTTAGGTGGAGCTCCCTATGGGGCCACGAAACGTGAGGGGGGTGCCAAAATGGGGCGGGGATGCCACGCGAGTTCCGCCACTGGGACCGTAATTGGAGCTCCCTATGGGGCCACAAAACGCTGTACTGAGTGGGTGAAACGCAGGGAGGAGGGAGAGGAGGGAGGAGGGGGAGGAGGAGAGGAGGAATGCGGGGCACCGTCTCTTCAAAACGAGGACCCAACACCACAGGATGGTTGGGAACTACCACTGACCAGCGGCCGACCAGGAAACATGCGCCCCACCCACCCACCCCACCATCCCTATCAATAAAACCGCGGGGAGATATCAGAATGACCGCTGTGCGCTGTAGCTCACAAGTCCTATCAAAAACCATGGCGAACTAACTGCGGGCGCACACAAACCGTACACCATGCTGGCCACCCCGCCACAGCTTTGCGGTGGTCTCTGACTGGGATGGTAGGGGTGTCGACATGTCGCCCAATGTGTGCTGTCACGTGCTCTGGCACACCTGGCACGCTCCACGTGAGTTGCATACCTGCAGCACCTGGCGCGCCTAGAGCAAGCGGCACACTTGGCGCTCTTGGCACATTTTGCGCATCAAGCGCGCCAGGCACGCTTGGGCCACTCGGACACCTGGCGCACGTGGTGCGGGTGGCGCACCGGGTTCCCACGCTGCTGTATAACTATGCTGAGTCTCAGGTGATACTTCTCTCGTGGGAGAGCGGGTTGGAGTGAGCGAGACGGAGCGTGGCGTTCCCAGTGGGAACTCGACCCCAGCCCCTGCCCACTGCCCAATGGGCTCGAGGGCGCGAGGGGCCACAGCGTCCAGAGTGGCCCTGCGTTGCCCCGAGATGACCCTGAACATCCAAGAAAGGCATCCAACATCTTGGGGAAGCCGGCGGTAAACCAGGTTACATCCGGAGACCTCGTAGAGCTCCTGACACGCGTAAGAATGCTCACAGCAGGAAGAAAGCTCCCTGGAGGAACAGCTCAGAAACTCGAACAACATTTGTTCCAGTTCAATAGAAAGTTCGTTCCAATAAGTGTTTTGATAGTGATACTGCAGCTACGGATATGACAATTTGACCAGCAGACGCGGCATAAACTACTTCAAGTGCGAAAAATAGATTCCCAAAACGAATTTCAAATCTCCATAAAAATAGAAAAACCGACCCCAGGTCATCACATTGTCCTTTTCGCCACGGTCGGCCAAGACGGTGCAAGAGAGCCCCAAGAGCACCCCCAAGATGGCCCCAACAGACCAAGTCGTCGTCGTCGTAGTTGTCCCCTTTCAGTGTCGGCGGCAGCGGGCTTGAGGCCTTCGCAATATCCAAGAAGGGCCTCCGAGACTGAGCAAGATGGCTCAAGCTGGAGCAGATGGCATCCTCCAGCGAGGCTCTCGGAGGCCTCGAGAGGGCCCCGAGGTAGCTCGGCGGCTTCCCTGAGCCTCCGAAGTAGGCCCACGAGAGGCCAAAATTACGTGTAGCCCGTAAGCTGTTTGTTGATGTCGGGCCTTCTCCCTTTTGCAATGGTATTGATTGTTTACGTATTCCAGGTAACGGTCATCACCCGGGAGGGAAAAGCGGAGGGGGTTGGGGCGCTGGGTAATGGTAACCTTTGGGGGGTGGGGCACGTCGGGGCGGAGGGGCCCTGCGATCGCCGTAGGATGTGCGCAAGCACCAGCATTTAGGGGGATCCAGGCACCAGCCTCCTGCGTACGGTCGTGACCCTTACCAGGGGGAGGGGGAGGGGGCACGGGTAACGACCGTCACGCGCCGAAGGATACAAGAAACACATCGGTCCCGATGTGCCTCTGCAATCCCAAAGATTGCCCCCCAGTGGCCCAGCCCAAGAGGAGTCCGGGGGGAGGGCCGCGAGGGGGCCCAAAACGCCCAGCAAAAGAACACCTCAAGAGAGTCCAGAGGCCGCCAGGCTGGGGACTGCACGGGCTGACGCTGGCTTCGGCCTGCCGAGTGACCCCACCCGCAGGGCTCCTCCACCTTCCATCGCGCGGCAGCTCGCCCAGAAATCGTCTCTGGACGGGCAGGTGGGGATTTTTTGGTCAGCGGCCGCAGGCGAGAGCGCCAGCGGCGAGTCCAGTCAGACTGGGCCGCGCAAAGACGAATTAACCTAAAGCGGTGGGCCGAAGCCTCACGCGGCACCTCGACGGCCAGGCCGGCGAGTGGAAGGGGGCTGACGGCAACTGCTGGGACGCTGCACTGCCAGGGTGCACGCCCGGTGGGGATACGCGAGGCGTGGGGGATTAAGACTGTGCCGAAATAATCAGGCTGGGAAAAGGGTGCCAATCGCTGCGCCGAGTTTCCGATGGCTCTGCACTTCACTGTCAGGATTCAAACAAATTCGCCAATATGCAACACTTGCCTATCTGAACCTGGACCTGTGGTGACCGAGAGGGTAACCAGTGCGAATGTGTGTGCAAGCGGCGACTGGGTACTGAACATGGAGGCTACCGAAATGATTGTGAAAGTGTCTCCGTGGACTCGCAACATCCTGACCCCGGCTCGTTTGACAACCGCGCCTCCTGCACCCAGTCGCGCCTCCTGCCAACCGCGAAGAGATAATTCTGGATTGGTTCCATTGAATTTCCAAGATCATTCGAGCCCAAGGATGCTTCGAACCCAGAGGCCGCGCCTCCTGCCCTCAGTCGCGCCTCCTCACAATCCCGGAGGGGGGCTACTCTAGATTGGTCCCATGCAGCTTCAACGATAAAGCCCCAAGATGCCTCGAGCCCAAAAGGCCAGAAGGGACGCTAGGATGCTCCATGGCCACCCCGCGACGCCACGATGCGTACCCAGCATGTCTTTGAGAACCCTCCAGACATCACCACTGACAGCGCCAAGGGGGCCAAGGTTGCCCCCTAAGAGCCATCAACAAGCCACGTAACCAAATAAAGAAACAATGCGCTTACGTACATATGGTTAGACATACATGTATAGCACAAACAGTACACCATGTTACCACCCATCATATTTGAACCCGAGAACAAATAATAGATCACACAGTAGTACTATACATTATAACATCACCAAACCGTTTCTACAACATACGATTATACAAAATGCAAACCTGGTGCCTAATAGCACTGTGTACTTACTTGCACTCACACATGGTCATAGCACAAGCACACAACTGCAAGCACAAACGCATATACATACATATACATATATGTGTGTATATATAACGCTTTAAGTCGGCGGCGCAGAGGAAACTCAGGCGCGGTCGGCAGATGGAAATGCAAATTGCGAACGAACTGAGTCGAACGCGCCGTGATAAAAGAACTCAGCCACCGCCATGCAGATTGGTAATGGAGGCAACAGGACACACACACACACACACACACACACACACACACACACGCCCGAACAACCGCAAAAAGACTGGCTGGTACGCGGAAACAGAGAACTGAAAGGAGCCAGCTCTCCACAGACACGAGCACGGCGAGGATAGGGGAAGAGCAAGGGGAAACTAAATGGGAAGGAGAAGAAAAAACGAAAAGAGAAAAAGAGATTCGACCAGCTTCGGAACGGGTCATTACCGACCCGCACGGCCGACGAGCCGCACGCACCGTGAAAAGGAAAGAGGACCTTGAGCCCCTGCCCGTCGCCGCCATCGGGGAGGGGAGAGGAACGAGATGGGGAAAAGGAACCGGGGACGGATGAGGGGGAGCGATAGCGGGACTGGGCGTGTTGGTATATTCGGAAGGCACTAGAGCGCGATAAAACACGAATGAAGATTAGGATCATACTGTTGATGATGATGATGATGATGATGATGATGATGATGATGATGATGATGATGACGACGACATACTGTCTCTTGGGAGCATCTTGGGCGTCTCCCAGGGGACCATTGGCGTGAAATCTCGACAGCGCATCGCCGAGGGATCGGCGGTGGGCCCCCAGCAGCGACGCCGCGCGCCGCTGGGCAGGCCTGGCCACCCGAGGCCCCGATCGGCGAGGCACGGGCGATGGGGCGCCGATGCCTCCCCCAGGGGGCCTGCCCCACCTCCCGGGGCTGAACATCAACGGCGTCTGGCGCTTTCGTGTTGGTTCCGTCTTCCCTCGTTTTGTCCTCAATCGGGGGCCACATGCAGAACAGGGTTCGCATGTGGCCCCCTACCCACCTCCCAGGGCTGAACCTAAACGGCGTCTTGCGCTTGCGTTTTGGTTCCGTTCTCCCTCGTCTTGTCCTCGACCCGCCCTTCACGCAAGGGGAGGTCGAAACAAAGACGGCCCACGAGATCGCCGAAACACCGTTTGGGTCCAGCCCTGCCACCTCCCGTTGCCCCTGAGCTCGAGGCGGGGACGGCGACGGAGGCTGGAAAATCCCGGACACAGACTGCGCCAGCAAAGTCAACGGGGTCAGCAGCCATGGCGATCAGCATAGAGCGGGGGGGGATGGAGTGGGAAGGGGCGCGAATGGGCCACTGTGGAGAAGTACACAGGAGTCGAGCGCAGATGGCTGCACAAGCTGATCGCCGTCGCCATACTGGAAAGACTCGCCGAGACGGAGGGACAGGAAGATAGCGGGAGGGGGGAGGGGGGGAGAGAGGGGGCACGGAGGAGAAGGGCGACCCCAAGGTTGGTGATGGCCACGGCCCCTGCAGTGGTGGAGACCTCCCAAACAGGGTCCATGTAGATGGGGTCGGAGGATCGCGCCGCATCGCCGATGCATCGCCGATTCATCGGCAATGCGTCGGCGCTGTCGGCGATATATCCGCGCCGTCGGCGTAGAGCAAATCGGGCTCTTTATCGAGCCGCATCGCCGATGCATCGGCGATTCGGCGCGATCCAACGACCACCTACTCGGACCCCATCTGGGAGGTCTTGAAATGGCATTCATTTGCCCGCCCCCCACTCCTGAGATCCGACGTCTCAAAAAAGAATAGATTCTGGCGAAAGACCCAACCATGTGCAATTGTGAATACCGCGTTGTGGGTACCGCTTTCGGTGGAGCTCCATATGGGGCCACGAACCGTGTGAGGGTGTGCCAAAATGGGTGTCGGGCGCATGCGGCCTGTGCCACTGGGACCTTCAGTGGAGCTCCCTGTGGGTCCACGAACCGTGTGAGGGGTGCGCCGAAATGGGTGGCGGTCCCCGCATGCGGACCCTGCCACTGGGGCCTTCGGTGGAGCTCCCTGTGGGGCCACGAAACGCATGCGGCCTCAGGCGGATGGGAATAGGGAGGAGGGGGAGGAGAGGAGAGGAGAGGAGAGGAGAGGAGAGGAGAGGAGAGGAGAGGAGAGGAGAGAGAGGAGAGGAGAGGAGAGGAGAGGAGAGGGAGAGGAGAGGAGAGGAGAGGAGAGGAGAGGAGAGGAGAGGAGAGAGAGGAGAGAGAGAGAGAGAGAGGAGAGGAGAGGAGAGAGGAGAGGAGAGGAGAGAGAGAGAGAGAGAGAGAGAGGAGAGGAGAGGAGAGGAGAGGAGAGGAGAGGAGAGGAGAGGAGAGAGGAGAGGAGAGGAGAGGAGAGGAGAGGAGAGGAGAGAGGAGAGGAGAGGGAGAGGGAGAGGGAGAGGGAGAGGGAGAGGGAGAGGGAGAGGGAGAGGGAGAGGGAGAGGGAGAGGAGAGGAGAGGAGAGGAGAGGAGAGGAGACGTGGGGCGCTCTGTTCAAAACGAGGACCCAACACAACAGCATGGTTGGGAATAAAACCCTGGGCCCCATCCTTCTGAGCCGGTTTTCGAAGCGGATCGATGTGTGAGGAGTCCTGGGGCCCGAATCTGGGCGAAGACGCCCGGCTCGACAAAATCGAGACGCCAGAATCTCAGGGCCCCCATCCACGGTGCCTCCTTGATGGACCTCTGCTTTTCCACGCTGGTGTCGTCGCAGAACTGCTTGTCCGCCCGCCCCCACCCCGGGGGAGCCAAATGCGGGCGGGGGCTGTCGCAGAGGCTCGGAGGCTAGGCCTGGCGGTCGACCGGAAAAATCAGCACCGCGGTGGTTCACAATACATCCCTCTTTCTCCTTTTCCTCCTCCTCCTCCTCCTCCTCCTCCGCCGCCTCCACCTCCGCCTCCTCCAACACCTCCGCCTCCTCCTCCTCCATTCCATTCCATTCAATTCCATCCCATCCATGCCTTTCCCTCCCATCCCATTCCACTCCATTCAAGTCCGTTCCCCGTCCTCAGACACAATTCCTCCCTGTCGCACCCCGAGGCCAGTCGGAAGGGCATCCCTTACCACTAATGAACCTCAAGATTAAAAACTGGCAACAGCTTTACGGATGGAGGGCGGGTAGTTTTCAAAATGTTGCTCTCGCCTTGCGGCCGCGCACACTGGTCTCAAAAAGTTGCAAGAGCGTCACGGATTCAGGAGGGCGAGTCGTTTTCAACATATGGTTGTTGCTTGAAGCGCCGAGCACATTCGATTAAAATATTGCACAAGGGTTGAAGGTGGCTTGTTTTCAAAATGTGACTCTCGCCTTATCGACGCACGCATTCTTTCTACAAATTTGCATCAGTTTCACGGAATTGGGGCGGCTTGGTTTCAAAATGTGGCTGTCGCCTAGCGCCGCGCAGACTCGTGCGAAAAATCTGCAAGAGCTTATCGGATTGAAGGCGGCTCTTTTTCAGAGAGCGGTTATCGCCCTAGCGAGGCGCACATTCTTTCTAGAATTGCACAAGACTTGCAGTGCTTCTCATGGTTAACGTACCAGGAATGGTGTTCTGAAACGACTCATGAGTATCAGGGCGCAGTAGTTACGCTGATTCGCAATGCTGACGTACAAAGAATGGCGTTTTGGCACGACCCAGGATCGCCAAGACGCAACAGTCGGGTTGACGTGTGGCGTTGAAGTCCCCTCCTTTCTCCTTCCTCCCTCTGTTCCTCCTGATCCTCCTCCTCCACCTCTTCCTCTTCATCCCGAAATGTTTAATCCAGCCCGTGCGGGCGCCAATTACCTAATGTTGGCTGGTTGTGCTCAGTTTGGCACGGCGAATAATCACGGCAGGAACCATGAGCGTCCTTGGCAGCCCATGCGTTTTTTAAGACGCGCGGTCTTCTTCCATGCTCGCGCCGCAACACCACAGGGGGGCAGAGTGAGCGCACGGAAAAAAATCTGTGCCTCCTGGGCCGAATCTTTGGCACATGCCGCACTGCCTTGGCGCCTTGTCGGAGCCACCAAAAGAAAGCTTCGATCACCGATCATAGAAACACAAACCAGACGGCCCCAGATGCCCCCAAGACACCCCTGAACCACCCCTCTCGTTTTCATCTACACCACCATCACCCTGGACGCCCCCGCAATCTATTGGAAACAATATACACTCAAGGGGGGTCGGCGCATGTGGCGTAAGCCTACAGAAACAATGATTTGTTCCTTCTCCCCTTTTCGTTTCCGATGCGCTTTTGAAGGGTTAGCGCCGCCAAGATAGCCCAAGAGAGCTCCAAGAGGGGCCCCAAAGGCCTCCAAGACGACCTTAAGAGTGCCCAAGATCGCCCAACGAGCGCCCCACGGGGGGGCCCTGGATAAAGGACCCCCCCCCGTTGTGATCGATGGCCTCCGCGATGGCCCCAGGACGCCCTCCGAAGCTCCCAGGAGAGCCCCAAGAAGGCCCCAAAAGGGGCACCAAGACGGCCCCAAGACGCCACAAAAGAGCCCCAAGAGAACCCCGAGACCCCCCAAAGGGCCCCAAGAGGGCCCCACGGTGCCCCAAAAGAGCCCCAAGGGGACCCCAAGACGCCCCCAAAAAGCCCCGTAGCTCCCAGAAGGCCTCCGGCGCTCCAAGATAGATAGCCTCCAACATGGTTCATCACGTGCCTCCCCCTCCTCTCCTTGACCTCTCAGTTTCATTATACGCGTCTCTGTTTTCCATTTCCCATCAGCTCTCGTGGACAGGGTTTCTGAATGGGCTGGCGGGGACTCGCGAAGCGTGAACAATCCCACCAACCCTCCGGGCGTAGGTGGTCTAGGACGCATCATCTTCCAACCCCAATTTTTCCCCTTCGGGGAGGGGTTATCCCTCCCCCTAACCCTAGCCTGGACCTGAACGGGGGGGGGCCGCGACGCGTTGGAGCGTCCAGCACGGCCCCGGCGAAGAAGCCCAATCATTAATTTGATCATGGTTTTGGCCATATTTTGGCCTTTGGGGGGGGGCGAATTTAAGCTCACCCTTGTTTGATCGATGTCCTGCAAGATGACTCCAAGAGCGCCCCCAACAGCGCTCCCAAGAGCGTTTCAAGAGGGCCCCAAGAGGCGCCCAGGAAACCCCAGGAGGCAGTAAGACGCGCCCGAGAGGCCTCAACGAGGCTCGCCCCCAAGAGGCCCAAAAAAACTCGCCGAGACACCCAAGACGCTCCAAGAGGCCTCCGGGACCGCCAAGAGACCTCCAAGACGCTCCAAAACGCCTCCACTGGGGGACCCTTCCCCTGCGTGCTGCCCAACTCCCTGGTCGAGGCAACTCCTCTGGGCATCGTTCCTGGAAAAGCTGGTTGGCACTACTTTTTCGCTCGCGAGCGACGCAGAAGGCTGCGCGCCGTCCAAGGGGTCGAATGCAAGAGTCGAACACAAGGCAGTAACCGCCGGCGACAGGCGGAAAAATGAATAGGCGAAGCACAGCGGCGACGCGGCAGAAGCGGGAAAACAGACAACAGAGAGCAAGGGCCAAGAACACGACAGAGGAAGAAGGCGACAGAAGAGAAACAAGAGAGACAAAGGAGAGAAGACTGATTGGGGTTACTTTTTCGGTCGGCGGCTCCAAGGCAACAGTCAGGGAGCGAAAGCGGCGTCCGGATGGCGGTACGGGGCTGATTTGTAAGACAATTTGCCGCCAGAGTCGGCGGGCAAAGCTCGCATCTGCAAGACACTCTCGCATTTGCACGCGCACAGAACAAAATGAACTAAATTCTCAGGGCTGTACAGGCGTTGCAGGCTGAACCACTCAGCACCCAGTCCTCAGTACTCCGCCTCCCAGTGCCGAGGGGAGCCACGCGGCTGTGCCCAAGGCGCAACTGCGATGCCGATCCCTGGAGCGAAGAGATCCGCTGGCGTGGCGAGCACCGCCGTCGGGCGGTGATGACGTCTGCGCTGCCTGCCAGGGGGGTCCTGCTGCAGTGGAGGCAAGTGAGAGGCCGGTGGAGTGAGTCGCCTGCGGGGCGCCAGACTCCGAACGCCCACGACGACGACAGCAAGTCAGGGAGCAGCTGTCGTGGCGCAGCGCACTGGCTGGAAGCTGGTGGATGAGCCCGGGGTGCTGCACCTGCTGCGGAAGGCTGAAACACTCCGTGGCGACCCAACACCCGAGAGACAACCCCACAGAGCATGAAGGGAACAAGCCACTGTGGGCCACGCAGCGCGTGCCGGCACGGCGCCAGGCCTCAGAGAGGGGAGGGGGGGGGGGAGCGCAGGCGAGGGATGCACCGCCAGCGGGGGGAGGGAGGGGGGGGCGGCACTGGTGGTAGCGCTGCCTTCAGCGGTGCCATAAGGCGAAGCGCCCGGGGGAGCTGCACTGTGGAGGACGCGGGGGCCAGGAGGCAAGCCAGGCCCAGTCCGCCGATTGGCGCTGCCCCCCAGATCCGTGACCCCACACACACCACGGGGCCCTCCAGGGCCGAAGCAAACTCCGCTGAGAGTGGGAGCCACACCCCAAAGAGCGCGGAACACGGGCGGCCCTGGGAGGGGGGGCAACCACCCTGACGTCTGATAGCACGTCTGGCAGGCCCTGAGGCCAAGGGCGGAGGACACCCGCCAGGCCCGAGAGGGGTGAGGCGAGGGGGAGCACCGTCTCGCCTCTCGGCCTGGCCCCGAATCCGAGGGCAAGGGGCCATGGTCCTCTCTTGGGTCATTCTCGGGGGTCGCAGCTGATCGCCGCTATGATCTCTCTTTAATCTCCTCGGGGGTCGCAGCTAACTCGCCGCTGAGATCCCGGGGGTCGCAGCTACTCGCCGCGAGCACCTGCGTGGAAGAACGGGGGGTCGCAGCTGACCGCCGCTAGGATACATTTGACATCGAGGGGGTCGCAGCTAATCGCCGCTGAGGTCACTGTTGAATGTGTGCAAACGGGTGATGGCCCACCGAGGCCGCAGTCCACTGCGGACGGCTGACGGCCCACCAGGGCCGCGGTCGACGCGGAATGTGGGCCAGCAGCGAGATGCGCCTCCGGGGGTGGGTCCTGGGGAGTCGCAGCTACTCGCCCCTGGAGCTGAAGCTGCCAAAACTGAGGCCTGAAACGACAGGCTGGTAGGCTGGCGCGCAGGGGGGGGTGCTTCTGCCGACGCCCCCCTGTCACCGAATATCGCCGCTATGATCTCAATTTGAGGGTAGGTGTGTCCGGTTGCGGTTCCTTTCGTTGACACGGAGGTCGCAGCTAACCGCCGCACATCACAATTCGATGGTAGGTGTGCCCCCTGAACCCAGCGCTGCCACTGACGACGCAGGCACCAACTTAGCATCCCACATCCCGGCAATGCGCCGGAGAATGTGGATCACAATTGAATGGATGGTGCCTCCGCCTCCGCTGAACCGACAGCACCGGGATGCAAGAGTACCTGAACCCCAGAGGGCGGACCCGAGTCCAACAGCAGACACCCCAGGGAGGACAGCGCCAGGATGCAAGAGCCCCAGGAGCAACCGCGGGACACACACTCAGATCCCACTGCAGTCACAGATCACGTTGGCCACCTGCCGCCATGCTGGGCGGGGAGGAGCTGCAGCCAGTGCGCACCCTTCACGCACCTGCTCTCAGCGCAGCAACTGGTGACAGTGGGCGCCGCGAAGACGAAGCGCGCACGGGGGGGTGGCGAAGGACGGCCCTTGGCTGCCAGAGGAGGGATGCGAGAGCGCCTTGAACCCCCGTGGGAGGCCCCGGGCCCGTGGTTCAGGCAGGCCCCCGCGCGCG